CGGGCAGTGACCGTGAGTCCCGGGGCCGCCGGCTCTGAAGCGAGCGTGTCCTCGAAAGGTGCATGAAATGACGTACCCACAGGAGAAAAGAGACGTTGTAAATGTTTAATAGCATTTCGGCCTTAGAGAAAACGTTCACTTTCACATCTCAAGCTTTGTAATGAAATGGCTAATTTTTTTTTTAAAAAAAAAAATTCACTCAATTTTATGCTACCTTTTCCATTGAGGTGCAAAAAAAAAACCCCACAATAAAGCATTCCAGGCCTGATTGGTATTTACACAAGGCTGCCGAGACAAGGTGCCAGCCCAGGAGATAAAACGTGCAGTTGGGAAATAACGCCCACCTCTGGGCAGGAGCCCATGCTTAATGCTTTGAAACTTCAGCTTTAATTATCAGTATTTACGAAGCTATTAACTGTGTATGTTCTAAGCCATTTATGCTTGCAGTTAAGGGTGTCATTGCTTTCTGTGCAAAATAGTGCAGTGTTTTTTGTCATTTGGCCATCAAGCTCCCCCTACTGGGCTACTTTGTTGGTGGGAGAAAAGAGTTAACAGGAGAGAAAAGATGGAGGACAGGCTGATCACTTAAGATACAGATTTAGTATTGAAGTAACTGATACACAGCAAAATTTTTTAGAATTACAGGCACAATATACAGCAGTATGCAGGTGTGTAAAAGCTTCTGTAAGAATCTATCCTGTATCTAGGTCGCTGAATAATTTATTTCCTAAAAATACTTTCTCCTAACAGCTACTTTCTACCACAAAAATAAACTGGTAGAAAGAGCCATAAGGTACAGAACAATAAAAAAATCATCAAGGAAGCTCTCCAGGAGCTATGAAAGGCTATATTGAAAAATCAAAACAGTTGCAGAATATATATTTTATTTTCTTGTATATAATGTTTTGTGTATTTGAATTCATGCTCTCTCTGGATATTGACAAGAGTAAAGAGTAAAATTTTAGGAGAGTGAACTTTCAGTTAAGGAACTCATGGATCTGAGCACCTGGGAGACTGCCCTCAGTGATAAAGGAACAGAAGAGAGCTGGCAACTCCTTGAGGATGTTTCTCTTAAAAGTAAAAAAAAAAAGCTCTCAGTTCCCATGTGTAAAAATCAGGCCAGGAAGTCAGGAGACCTGCAACGGACCTGAGTAAGGACCTTGTGGTCAAACTGAAGTGCAAGGAAAAAAAATGCATAGGCCCTGGAAGCAGGAGTATATATCCATAGGGAAGAATATAGGGATGGTGCCTCAGTGTATACGAGTGGGATCAGGAGAGCCAAGGCACAGCTAGAGCCGAGTTTTGCAAGGGATGTGAAGAATACTACCATGTTGGTCAGAAAAGGAGGATTTAAAATGTATATATCCCCACCCAATAAATAAGATAGCAAATCTAGTGACAACCCACATGGAAAAGGCTGAGGTACCTGGTAATTTGCCCATTTCGAGTTGTTCTGAAGCCAAGTTATTTATTACTAATACATACCACAAATATGATCATAAGCATGCCTTTCCCGCCTGTCTTTTTAGTACTACACTGGCCGGTGTTAATGTAAGAAACCTACAAATCATGTAAGACAAAGGTACTTCCTTTGCTTCCTCTGCTCTTCATTTCAATTTTCCTGTTGTCTTCACGTTCAGACATTAGAATATTCTGAAGGAGACACTATATAATATACAGTATACTTAATACACTGCTTCAAATGGCCCATGTTTAGCAGAGGTATGAACATTACAAGGTCTGCAAAACCAAGAACAGTCTGAGTGTGATCAAAGACAGACAACTTTTTCCCTACTCCAAATGAATGCTACAAACAAACTGAATTTAATTTGAAAATATAGCAGAAGATTTTAATTGAAATACAGAACAAAAGCTGAAACAAAGCTTTCTGAACAACTTTACCGGCTCATCATTCATTCTTCCAAATAAAGAACAACTTACATAACTGCTCCATTTACTCCAGCAGTTGCACAAAAAGGCGAAACCAAACAATGAAAAATGCAAAACAAAAGGAAAGCAGCAATTCTTCCCTGAAGTGCTTAAATCTCAGATATATTCAGTAAATTAGTTCAGAAGCAAAATGTGGCACTTTGAAATATGATATTATGTTATTCCCTGTGGTTGTTGGTATTTCTTTGGAACTAAACAATTTTCCTATTTTTTAAATTGGTAGCAGTTTGAAGACAAAAATTACCATGAATGAAAAGAATGTTGAGAATGCACTCAATGTGACAGATAACTTTGGATAATTTATCTCCACTTTTGAAAAGTTTTGCATAAATTACCATGATTAGAAATAATTTAGGTATATTGAATATAGACATTAACTTTATATAGATAGATAGTTTATATTAAAAATTAATTTTAGCTAATAAATGTCTCTATATACACTGGTTTTCACCAAAATGAAAGTGAATAGACTGGGAGGTATCTGCAGAAATGAAAGATTTCATTCATTCCTAGATACACATTACAGTTGGCTAATGCATAACTTTGTGAAGCATAGTAAAAGAATTCTTGAACTCAAAACATACTTTTCTGAACATTAAATTTTCAGGGAGAAAAGGACCCACGTGACCCAACAGACCAGTGTTACAGCATATTCTGCAGTTAGTGTCTAAGTAGAATAAGGTGGTAATGGCTCAGTAAAAAATTGCAATAGGTTAATCAGTAATTAAGTTGATGGTTAAATTGTCAGTAAACTCTAAACATATGCCTCTAAACTGGCACAACTGTGCTGCTTCGAAGACTGAAAGAATTAGGCACAGATAAACGTCAAACCACATACCCAAAAAATGCTTTGGCAGGACAAAGGAATATTTTCCTGACTTTGGCCATGTTTAGAAAGGACCAAAACCACAGTGAATATGTAATAAAAATATTCTATCTTTAAATGAAACACATTATAATTTGCTACTGTAATCTGAACAAGCAGAGTTTATCATCAATGGATTAATATGTTTGTATTTTGCTTGAATATTAACATAGACAGCAAGATTGTTGATGTTTTTTATTATCATCCTGTGAAATACACTACCCTCTTTCATGACATCTTCAACCTTCTTATCTGTTGACATGACTATTTTCTTTTCTCCTGTATAATCTGGATCTTCTGGATATAACTCATCTCCTGGGGGCAGAAAAAAGGTTTTAGTTATACATTGCCTACTTTATTTTTTAGTCTTTTGATTGAGTGACACTAGCAATTTTAAAATACTTATCAGGACACAAAACTCAGTGAGAATGTATTTCACAAGAGTAAATTGCCTCTAAACATCTTCAGATATAGAAGATAAAGCCTTAAATTTCTGAACTATCTGGTAGTGACACTGCAGTGCACATTCGAGGTGTTGATTTGAAATGTTCTAACGAGAATATGTTGTAATCACAGCGTGGTCACATGTGAGTTTACATAATAGGTGGCGGACAAAACAAATACTTTTCCAAGTGTATAAAGATAGGCTACAGTAGAACAAAAAATAGAAACTGCTACTTTATTCTGTTTCACTGAAAAAACAGTGTTTTGTCATATATATGCTACTCTTGTGCAAGAGTGCTAATATACCACAAATACAGAAATTCAGTTGTGACAAAAAAATGAGAAAGCAAACTAAAGAAGCAGAAAATAATAAATAGTACATGCAGTTTTTCTTAAAGAGAAGGCAAAAATCTACATGATTATGAAATGAGAGAGACTTGAGTAGGAGAAACGGCAGAAGTAGAATGAATTAGTGTATCTTTTTAGATCACTGCTCTATCACTACAGTTGTGAAGACTGACACTGCAGCTGTGCTTGATCCACTTGCCTTTACAAAGACAGTCAACTGAAGTAAATGAGAATACCCACTGTAAAGGACTAAATAGTTCTAATACGTCCTTCAGATTTAAAAACAAAAAAGTTGAAATTTTAGAAATTATTCATAAACAAACATATTAATAGCAACCATATGCATCAATGAGATTATAAGTACAGAAATCACTATGGTGTCTGATTCAGTGGCTTATTTCTGACAGTAGCCATTATCAACTGTATCAAAGAAGGAAACGCAACAGTAGAAGTGTCCAGTAGCTTGACTTAATATTTTCCTTAGTTATAGATGGTTGGTGTCATGTGGCTTGAGTATGTAGCAACTCCCAAACTTTTATACATTCAAAAGAACCTGTTTTCTTACCTGGCAATAGCACAATGTAGCCATCTGAAGCACTTAACGTCACAGACATCCAGCGTTCACATCCCTCCAGAGCTCGATCAGAGCTGAACTTATGTAACTCATGGAGGGAAGAGAAGTTGCACAGCCTACAAAATTCATAGAACTGAGGTGGACCAAACCGTATTTCTTGAGATTTAAAGCGTTCAATGGCTTCTGGAGGTGATGTCCACTGTAAGATAAAAACAAGCCTTCAAATCAGTCTTGAAAAGAGAAGACTTTGGGGCGACCTAATAGCTGCCTTCCAATACCTGAAGGGAACCTACAGGACAGCTGGGGAAGGACTTTTTACAAGAGTGTCCACTGACAGGACAAGGGGAAATGGATTTAAGTTGAAGGAGAACAGATTTAGATTGGACCTTAGGAAGAAATTCTTCAGTACGAGGGTGGCAAGACTGGAATAAATTGCCCAGAGACGCGGTGGCTGCCCCCTCCCTGGAGGTGTTCAAGGCAAAATTGGATGGAGCCTTGAGTAGCCTGATCTGGTTGAGAGGCGTCCCTGCCCATGACAGGGAGGTTGGACTAGATGATCTCTAAGGTCCCTTCCAGCCTAGGCCATTCTGTGATTCTGTGAAATAATAGTTTTAGCAGACAGAGTGTCAGTGATTTTAGAAGCCATTAGCAAGGAAGTCTCTACAGAAAAAGAGCCTGCAACAGCTCACGTCTTCTGAATGCAACGAAAGCCAGGTACAACCTGTACCAAAATAGCAACAACAAAAAAAATTTTGAAAGCTGAAAAACATAAGGAATCAATAAATAATACTCTTTTTCCTACAAAACTAAGTTTTTTATATACATGGACACGCCAACTGAGACTTTTCTAAGGAGCCTGACTAAAAGTCTACTGAAACCAAGAGAAAACCTTAAACTCAATGTGAACTCAGTTACCAGAGGTTTTTACTGATTCCTCAAGAATTAAAAGTACCTCAAAATATTTGCTTCCTGTACACATTGCTTTTGGAGCATGAGCACCCAGCTATTTGTGCTTAAACACTGTGTTCTGCATGTTTAAACTAGTGGTAATCTCAATATCACATGGCAAATTTGATAATATAAAAATGTGTGCATAAGCATTTGCAGTAGACCTATGCTGTTGTTAACGAAATTCTAAGAAACAACTCATCTCAGGTGCTTTCAAATTTCTGCAGTAAGATCTATAAAAAAAATAAAGAGACATGAGTAATACCAGAACTGTTAGCTAAACTTTTACAGAACTGTCTGGTTTCTTATCTACTTCTAATTTGCTCTTCGACCTTTCAGAATTCTAGCAAAAATTAAGGACCCTAATGTACCTGACTCTGAGCTGTCTTTAAGAAGTTTCTTCATTAAGTTTTTTTACTATTTTACCATCTCCAACTAAAAAAGGTGGAAAGAATCTATATAGTGTGTTACTAAAACATTTTTTGGAACTATCTCAGGACATTTGCACACTACTTAAAATATTTCAACTACAAAAGACAAAAACTACTAGCAGCAGTTGCAGCCCTGAAACACTAAACATACTGCACGCATCGCTCTGAATGTTCAGGGTGTCTTGACAATATTCTGCAAGAGCGAGCGTGTAGGAAGTGATTACTTGTCATCCACCTTCGAAAGATACCTTAAAGAAACGCCCTTTCCTGCCAGCAGTGAGAGCTGCCCGACGGACGGGGCAGCAGGGGAGATGCACAGGGTAGAGGATGGCCATGAAGACGAAAACTCTCTTTCACTGCTCGCATCCTGAGGGAGTGTTGCCAGGGCGGCGAGAGAGCGAGACCTTTGCTGGGCTCTTTACTCGGGCTGGGGGCCGGGTCGGTGGAGAGGAGGGATGAAGCCGGCTCTCCTGTGCTTGTTGCCACAAACACCCGCCCGGCAGGGCCGGGCCCCTGCGGGCGCGGCCGGAGCGGCGCTT